TAATCTCAACATACTTTTAACCCAATTAAACTCTGCAAGACAGGTGCTTGTGTTCCCTCCCTGCACTCACCACAGAGGCAGCTCCACAGACTCTCAGACAAGGCCACTGCTTTTCACTGCCTTGCCCTCAGTGTGATGAATCACACCCTCAAAAGCCACAATTCAGTTTTTCATGTTGTGTGGGGACCTATTCTTTTTTTCCTAAATCCAGACTTCTTTCAGAATACTCCAAAAGTTTCTTGCTTTCCAAAGCTGATCCATGGCATTTCAGCCTGGGTCTGTGCTAGCCAGGAAAGCACAGTGCAGCAATGACTGATCTGACCAGCCACCCTACCCAGCAGAGGAGACACATGCAAAGTGTTCACTGTGCCATGGTGCTCACTTCAGCACCTCCAGAAATACTAATGTTGTACATTAATTCAGCATCTGCTCGAGGAAAGTGCATCTCTAATAGCCATCAAAATACAAAGGCTGCAAGATGTTAACACTCCTCCTTCCACCCCTTTGTCTCAAACTGCTTGAAGGAAGCTTTCTAAACCATGCTGAGGAGTGGAGGGTCCAGCACCGAGAAAATGCAAGATAGGCTGTTTTATTTCTTCCTTTGTGAGGAGGGAGCAGCCTCCACTGAAGCAGGGAGACAGGAAATGAAGCTCCAAGGCAGTCATGCAAAATTTCACACAGAGCCTTACTCGTACGATTCTGTTTAATCACCATCCATTTCCTCTTCACTCTTTAACTAAATAATAAATGTGGAGTGGCTTTTTTTCATTACCATGTGAGCCAGAACTGGTCCTAGAGAAAATAAACAGTGAGCTCTGAAATCAGTGAGTTTCACTGATTTAAAATACGAGGCACCTGTGTACATTTCTAATCCAATAATTAATAATCCAGCACCTTTCTATTTTAGGAACTCTCAGAGGTAATTTCCTCATCTGAGTGTAGCACACATCATAAATCCACTCCAAATGATTTTTAAATTTGTCCTTTCCAATTCCGATTTGAATTGACATTTTGTTCTGGTTGAAGTGGCATCCACAGAAGCCTTCTCCCCTGCAATTAGTTGAGATTAAGCAGTTGGAGAACCAGCACAGCAAAGATCAGAAATGCTTATAGTCCCTGATGTTTTGATCATACTGAACAGCAGAACAGCAGTAAGCTGCAGTTTGTGATTTTAAGATGCATAAATAAATATATTTCTGAGACTGCTCTAAAATGATCCGTAGCAGGCTGTGCCAGCAAGTGGACCCCATTTTTTACTGCTGGCAAGCAGCTTATGTGCTGGAGCCTGTCTGCAGCTTCAGAGCAAAACTTACAGAGCCTCATCTTTTCCTTTGTTCGATATTTCTATCTTCCTGTGCTACTTAATGATGTGCTAAAAAAGAACTCAGTGTATTTCAATTGCAGCCTGGATTTATTTAATCATTGGCAATCTGAAAGCATTCAGAGCTTTGGATTATTTGTATTTTATATAAATGCCAGAGATGGTCTTTCGGAGCATGTGTGTCGACTGCCCTAGCAATGTGAGCAGCCTGAGAAAGGCAGTATGGCACGAGGTTTGAGTCACACCCTATTCATTGAATTTAATAGCAGCTGAGCAGCTAAACCCCCTTATCAGGGTTATGAAAGTGTGTACCAGGGTGAGTGTACCCTGGCCACAGCTGCCTGAATCCTATCAGCCAATGCTGTCTGCTCGACTGCACCCTGAGCAGACTTCATCTGACAGGGAGCAAAGTTTGACACATAACTGAGTTAAGATGAGCATTTGGAAACTGAGACGATCGGTTCTTCCTAAATGCTTTTAAAAACTTTATTGTTCAGTTTCTGGTACTTGCAGGCCAAGGTCAAGATTCTGTAACAACAACCAGACATGGAGTACTTTGGCCTTTGTACTTCCTTTGGTCCTGAGGGAAACGGAGAGGAATAGACAGCCAAATGAAAAATTAAATAAGCAGACCCCCCAGACTCACAAAAGTCTTTTGGATCACCTTCCCCAAAAATTGTTGGCCTATGCTTTAAATTCCCCAAGTGCTCAACAGTTGTTTGCAGGGCTGCTGCTGTTTCTACCCCTGAACTGGTTCCTTATCTCTATCAGCATGTTACAGGATGCTTTCCCCCTCACTCCGTAACATATATATAGTGAAATCAAAGTCACATAAATGATGGGCTGCCCATCTTGTCCTGCGGTCACTAAAATTCCCCATCAGTTACATGTCCCTGTGCATATATGGAAATGTGAGTGTATCAACATGGTGAAAAGCCTGAAGAGACACCTGCAGGGGAGGTGCAGAGCAGGAGCTGAGGAGCTGGGAAATGGGGAGAGAAAAGTGTAACAGCAGAAAATATGTTTCTTTTTAAAAAAAGAGAAAGAAAGACCAGGAATTAATTTTGTCCTGGGGGATTTCCAGCAGGTGGACTCCTGTGGTAGATCTTTACTGAAAGGATAGCATCTGTTTTTCATAAATTGTTGTTGAGTAGTACCTTTAAATGAATTTGCATAAGAAGGAAGCATCATTATCTTCATGATACCTGTGGGAAAGCTTAGGAAAAGAGAACTGATTTGCTTAAATTCAAACTTTCTACCAGCCGAAACAGCAATAGCCTCTTGAGTCACTCTTCACTGCTTCCCTGGCAGAGACCTAGCTCTGCTGTGCCATCAGTTCCCAGTATGTGCAGAGGAAGGCAAAGTGGTTTTGCTGTCCATTTGTCACTGTTGCTTAGCTAGATGTGTCTGCTAAGCAGAAGTGATCACTTTCTCCTTTTGTTGTCCAAATTTCATGGTACCTTTCCCACGACTCTGTGGTTTAATAATAAAAAATGCTGCTCACCACTGTTTCAAGATTTTAAAAACTGTTTCCCTGCAGAATCCCAAGAAAAATATGGACCAGTTCCCAGATAGCTAATCCCATCCAAAGAGCATCCTCTGAATGATACTGCAGCAGGCATCCCAGACAAGAGAGATGTACAAAGGATCAGCACACATGGACAGGGAAATGGTTTCCTGACAGTGTTGGCACAACCTGGAAATTTGAGAGCAGAGGGATCTGAGATATTTCTGAGACTTTTGTGCTTTTGCTTATTGAAATTTTATTTGTCCATTGGCTCTTCCCAGTTTCCCCCATAACTGAAGTTTGAGAAGCCACAGTACTCTAAGTGTGGTGGTTACTGCAGTGCCTCAGTTTGTGAGGTTCTCACTGAAAAGTGGGCACAAGGATCCCCCACATCCCCTACTGGGATGTGGCTGCTGATGGGGATGGCAGTGCAACAACTACTGTTCCCCAAACCCAGATCCTACAGCAGCACAAACAAACCCTAAATATTCACAAACATTTTGGATATGATGAAGCCTGGGTTTGGGTGGAAATCGCTTTTGGCCATGGTCAACCAATCTATGGCCCAGCCCAGGTATCACACTCCCA